TAGAGGCCTACGTCGATGACATGGTGGTAAAAAGTGTCAGGGCTAGCGACCGCATGGCCTGTCTACAGAAAATGTTTGATATAGCCCGGCAGAATAACTTAATGTTCAATCCGTAGAAATGTGTTTTTGGTGCAATCGGTGGAAAGTTCCTAGGCTTCATATCACCCGAGAGGCATTAAGGTGAACCTCGACAAAATATAGGCAATACTAGAAATGAAGAGCCTCATTAGCAAGAAGGAGGTCCAGCGACTGACAAGATGGATAGAGACCCTTAACCATTTTATGAGTCAGACAATGGATAAATGCTACTATTTTTTCAAACCCAAGGGGCTCTATTAATTTCAAGCGGATGTAGGAGTGCAAGAATCGCTGGAATCCTCGAAGTAGTCACTACAGCAACCTCCAATTTTGACCAGCTCGTGCCCGGGGGACGTACTTCGTCCCAAACAGTCAGCGCAGTACTAGTGAGAGAATTCTCAAAGGCACAAAAACTAGTCTACTACGTAAGCTTAGTCCACAAGGGCATAGAGACGAGATATAGCATCGCCAGCAACTGGTGCTCGCATTGATCATCATGATCCTACATCAACCAGAGACATCCGGGAGGCTGTTGAAATCAATGATTGAATTGAGCGAGTTTGACATCAGTAGGCCCAGGAAAGCCATCAAAGCTAAGCTCTAGCAAATTTCATCGTCGAGCTCACTATCCCACTAGAGCCACTAGAAGGGCAAAAAATGGATTAGAAGACTTTTATGGACGGTTCCTCGAGTGCAGAGGGATCAGGAGCAGGGATCATAATGATCGAACTGGACTCTGAAGAATTGGAATAATCACTACGCTTCGAGTTCCCCGCCACCAATGACGATGCTGAGTATGAGGCAGTGATCACAAGCCTAGATCTGGCGGCTAGGCAGGGGATGTCTTCAGTAGAGGTTTGCAGTGACTCGCAGTTAATAGTTGGACATGTGTTGGGGGAGTTTGAAGCGAAAGATGGATGGCGGCATATCTGATATAAGTAAGAGATTTGCAAAGAAAATTCACAAGTTTTAAGATGACTAAGATCCCACGAAAAATAATGAGTGGGCAGAATATTTAATATTTATTTGAAATTCTATATTCTATCCGTTTCTATATTCTATAGATACTATAGTGTAGTGTATTGAATTCCTATAGATAGAATGTTTCTATTATGTGGGCCTACTTAGCTCAGAGGTTAGAGCATCGCATTTGTAATGCGATGGTCATCGGTTTGATTCCGATAGCCGGCTTTTCCTTCATTTTTTTATTTAATTTTTTAATGATTGATAATGTCCCTTTGAAATCAAAGAATATTGAAAAAGTGCCTTCCCTCTTTTTCAAAATCCATGAATTTTAGAAGTTATAGGAACTTCCAACTATGTCAGGAAAATGATCCTTTCTATATATATATATATATATATAATAATAGAAAGTCTGGATATTTATCCAATTTACCTCATTCTTCTAAAAATTGAAGCAAAACAGACAACAAGAAACGAGAATTTTTATGTTCTAATGAATGTCGTTTAGGTCTAACTGTATTAAACTCATGTTAAGTGGAAAATGGAAATTTCTTTATTTTGCATTTAGCAACCAAACGACTTCAATTGATTTAAGTGCTTAACTCTTAGCTCGAAGACTGAATAAGGCATATACGGATCGGGGAGCCTAGTCGAAGGAGTAGTTCGCATAGCACTATTGAAAGGCTATACGCAAAGGAGCAGGGGGCAGCTATTTGGGCTATTGAAAAGGGAAAGTCTTCTTGCGTGGAAAGGGATAGAAGCATTGACAAGGCTCGCATCGACAAGGCCGAGAAATCTACCACGAGGAAACGAATGTGCAAGTCCTACGACACCCCAATATTCAAGGCTAGGCCGAGGTGAAGAACGTTGAGTATGAACAAAATTGGATGGATCCATTGATCAAATATCTCATGGATGATGATGTGCCAGAAAACGCCTTTCCAAGTAAAGAGGTTGAGGGTTCGAGTAGCCTCGTTTACCATTATCGATGGGCAGCTCTACAAGCGGGGTTAGGCAGAAAGCCTTAGAGGACAAAAAATTAGCTAAGGTCCTTAATCCTAGACCCCTTTCCCGATGGTCGACATAGCCCACACGGCTAGGCGGAGAGCCTTAAAAGCCAAAAAATTGGCTAAGGCCCTTAATCGCTAGACCCCTCTCCCGACGGTCAACATAGCCCACATGGTTAGGCGGAGAGCCTTAGAAGCCAAAAAATTGGCTAAGACCCTTAATCGCTAAACCCCTCTCCCGATGGTCGACATAGCCCACGCAGCTAGACAAAGAGATTTAGAAGCCAAAAATTGGCTAAAACCCTTAATCGATAGACTCCTCTCCCGACGGTCAATATAGCCCACGTAGCTAGACGGAGAGCCTTAGAGGCTAAAAAATTGGCTAAGGCCTTAACTGCTCGGCTAGGCGAAGGGCCTTAAAAGCCAAAAAATTAGCTAAGGGCCTTAATCGCTAGACCCCTCTCCCGACTGTCGACATAGCCCACACGGCTAAGCGGAAAGTCTTAGAAGCCAAAAAATTGGCTAAGGTCCTTAATCGCTAGTTCCCTCTTCCGACGGTTAACATAGCCCACGCGGCTAGACGGAGAGCCTTAGAAGCTAAAAATTGGCTAAGGCCTTAACTGCTTGGCTAGGCGGAGGGCCTTAGAAGCCAAAAAATTGGCTAAGGTCCTTAACCGCTAGACCTATCTCCCAACTATCAATATAGCCCACGTGGTTAGACAGAGAGCCTTAGAGGTCAAAAAATTGGCTAAGGCTCTTAACCTGCAGACACCACACCTGACGATCGTCATAACACAAGCGGGAAGACAGAAAGTCTTCGACAAAAAAAATAATAATAATAGAAAAAGAAGATGCTACCCCTTGCCAAAAAACATCGACAAGGGGTAGGGGCTAGTGATATTGGATGGCGTAGACAACCGTCTGCAATAACGAGCAAGGTAAGACATTGCACACTGATACAAGACCTTCAGTCTCCCGAGGGCGCTCTACCTCTACGAGAGACTGTCGACCCCTCGAGTACTCTATCTCTACAAGAGACCATCGACCCCTGGGGGTGCTCTACCTTTACGAGAGACCGTCAACCCCCCGGGTGCTCTACCTCTACTAGAGACCATCGACCCCCCGGGGACGCTCTACCTCTACAAGAGACTGTCGACCCCCCGGTGCTCTACCTCTACGAGAGACCATTGACTCTTGGGGGCGCTCTACCTCTACGAGAGATCGTCGACCCTTTTAGTGCTCTATCTCAATGCGAGACCATCGATCGGCATGGAATTACCTACGAGACCATCTCAACACTTTGCCATAAAATCTCTGATGAATTGACGAGGTTGTATGGTGGTTACCACGAGTACAACCTCTGGACGGGAAGTTAAGACCCCCCACTCAAAACGTGGGTAACGAGAAAGCCAACGTAGGGACACGTGGCACCACAACCACCCGACTCTCACTCGACTTCCAATGTCTATAAATACCCCCGAGGGCAACACAGGTATGGATGATAGCATTTTTTCCTAGCCATCTAAATTCATCTTCATACTTCCCAGTATCATTTACTGATTATCACACCGGAGGTAAAATGGAGAGAAAGCCCCGCCTTCATTTTTCATGTTACACACGCCCAACGGAGTAGCAGGAACACCAAACGCCACCAGTTAGACGGAAAGGTATTATTCCACCACCATTTCAATATCTATTAGAAGAATCCACATAAAATTAAAATTATTATTTGGTTCGTAATGGATAAAATTTATTCTTCAGTGTAAGAAATATTATTGGCCAATTTGAAGGTGGAAACGCTAAACTAAAATACAAAGTTTTTTATACTTAGATTTTACAACGAGTTTGTTTATAAATTTGAAATCCCCTCGGCTAGAGTGTTACCGTCTCGACTAGCCCACTTCGTCCTTCACCAATTACCCCTAAAAATCTTTTCGGGATGTACATTGATTTGTACAAACTCTATAATTCATCTTATAGTGTCAAAAAGGGAAAATTGCAGCAGCGATCTCTAACCTTTTCGTTTCTTGCAGATTTTACTCTAACCTTCATTTTGTGTCAGCAAAGGCTTCTAACCTTTCGTAAATATGTACTTAAAGTCCATCTGAACGGAGACCGTCCAAAATACCGTCCACTGTCCGGGAAAATTTCTTGAACTATCTGCTACCAAGACGATTTTATTGGATGTTGATACTCTTTTGGACGGTGTTTTGGACAGTTTTATTGGGTGTTGATTTCTTAATTTTCCTGATCAACTGATGGTATTTTTTACGGTTTCCGTCCAGATAGACCCCAGGTGCATATTTATGAAAAGTTGGGAACCTCTGCTAACACGAAATGAAGATTTGTGTAAAATCTGCAAAAAATGAAAAGGTCAGGAGTTGTTGCTATAGTTTTCCCATGTCAAAATTAACATTATTGGAAAATCTTTCAACTCAACTTTACATAATTTTCACATCATCTTAAACGAAGATGAATCAAACCAATCAACACCAAATTTTGAAAATCTCCAACAAAAATTAGAAAGGCTTCACCAACTCCATTTTTGACTTTTATAAATTTGCTTAATGAAAAATTTATAAAAACTAATTTAATTGAAATAATTAAAAGTCATTTTGTACTTTGAAACAGGGAATGAGACCACCAATTGTTGAACCCTCTACCTTAAAACATAAAATTATTTAAATTATAATAAAATTGAACTAAATTGTTTCGATTAAACTCGATTGGTTCGTAAAGAGTAATCTTATTTTGTAACGCTTGTATTGTAATAATAATGAAGATAGAGTATTAGAAATCATTAAATGAAAAATAAATCACATAATTTTCTTTTTAATTGAATTTTTTACGTAATATTGCATAAAGTTGTCCCAAAATGAACCAACCGAGAAAGAGCGTAGTGCTATTCTACGCCGCTTCAGGCCTTTTCTCTCCAGAAATTATAAATAAATAAAAAGAAAAAGCGCTCGCTGAACGAATAAAGCTTCATTCGGTCAAAGACTCTTCGCATTGAACAAAAATTATTATTTATTTATTTTTATCTAAATTGCGTTCTGTAGATTTTATATTTTTCGATTCTTTAAAATAAAAGATGCCCCGGACTTCATCGAAGAAAGGGTCCACAAATTCTACCTCTTCATACAATTCATCAACTATGGATCTGTTTCGAGCTGGTGATTATATCTTTAATTTTTGGTTTTTAACGCGTGTTTGATGACTCTTTCGGTTTTTTTAGTTGTTACTGAACTGAATTTTGTGATTTTAAGAAATTATGAACAGTTAATTTCGATTTCTTGTGTATGAATATATGTTGGAGGAATTTTTAGTTAAAAAATACTCTCTTTTTCTTTTCGAGAGTGAGAAGTGAATTAAACAAAATTAAATGGAAAAAATTTGTGAGACCTAACACGTGCGTTCTGTGATCTGGAATTGGAATTGAAATGGAAATCAAAACTAGTATTCTGAAGTTCGATTCAACGCTTGAATTAATTTTTTGGATCATGCTTTGACAGAGATGCTGGAATATTGGATGTTTATGAGAAGTAAATCAATTTTGCCTGAATTCCCCCTTTAATATTTTAATTGGTAGGTAGTTTTCCTCTTCTTTCTAATTGATCTTTAGATGGGGCTTTTAGTTATTAGAATTCAGGAAAGAACTAATTACAGTAAGTCAAACATGGATAAATTTGTGAAATTGGTTGAACAGTATGTGTTGCTTGTGTAAAACTGGGGCCTTGGGAAGGATAATTGAAGAGAAGATAAATTATATCCAAGTGAAATTATGTTAATCTCAGGTACTATTTGTAGTGTAAGTGTGTTTAGAAACCAGTGGAGGTTATCGCTAGCCAGAAGTTTCAAGATGTAATAAGATTGGTTGTGCAGCTACAAATTCTAATGAGATAGTTAGTGAATTTAAGAAATAATTTTCCTTTCTCTATATATTTAACCGTAGCCAAATAACATATAGCATCTGAAAAGGATGTGCATACGCACACTTCTTTTGCAATCAAATATGTAACTTGACATATGTAATCAGATAATCTTAGTAATTATTATAAATTCTACTTGTATCAAGAAGTTTCTATTTGGTTTAATGATTTGCATTTTCTGAAGTCGATTTAACTGAATCCCTTTGTTTTCATTCAGCTTCTGGTAAAGCTGCATCCAAAGAGCTGGAACGCATTGATCAATTATTCTATTCATATGCGAACAATTCCTCTGATACGATTGAGTAAGTTTCTTCCATATCGATTTATGGTTTATCCTATTGAAAGTGCTATCTGTATTAAAGTTTGGTAATGATTTGGAGTGGAGTTCGTGGATCCTTACCCCCAGGATGCTTGCTTTCTCCATTTTATGTCTTATATTGGGATTCAGTTTTTGTTCTTCTATCTTCCATGCCCATTCTTGGGGATGGGAGCAGGGGAAGCTGTCTCTCTTTCTCTCGCATTAGTCATATTGGAAATTTCCCTATAATTGAAGCCAGGAACCTATTCTGTTCCTTCAGTGTAAAACATAGATAAGAATTCATCAGTTTTAGTATTCAACCTATCATCTGGTCAGCCAGTGAAGAGGCAATTTTACGTATGACTCAAAAGTTTCTCAGTTCTCAGATGTCAACATTTTTAGGAAGCAGATTTTGTAAAATTTTGTTTTCAAGCAATTGAATTAAAATTTATAATCACTGAGATGTTCCGATCTTCATTTACTTGAATGTGCTCGTAAGATGTCTTTTATACTATGACTATAGTCATAAATAATGGGTTGCTTTTTGAGGAGTTAGTGCAGTTTAAATTTTTTTTTTGCCTTGTTCCTTAACTTTGCTTGTACATGACTGATATGAAATATATGTCAGAGCAGACCTGAAGGAATTGAGTCCCTTTGTTCAGATCTGGAAGTCGACCATACCGATGTCCGGATATTAATGCTTGCTTGGTGAGTTGCAATATTTTATTAAGTTTTTCATTTCCTGACTTCAAAATTGAAATTGAACATTGATGATTATGGTTTTAGGAAAATGCAGGCTAAAAAACAAGGATATTTTTCCCGGGTAAGAAAAGCCTTAGCATTGCTCTTAAATGAATTATGTTTCAGTTCTAGTGTTCTTGGATTTGGCTCACGATACTCTTGTTTCATTCAACAGATTCATGTGCTTAAGTTTAATTATTAGCTGCAGTGCCTTTTTTTATTAACTTAATGTGCATGTGGGAATTCTTTTATGCTAGTTGAATAAAGTGCAAGGATGTACCTGATATATATAAATTACACATTCTGTGTCGCAATGGGGAATGTCAAGTATTAAATTCTTCTATCTAAAAGTGACAGCACAGTGAGGTGTTCTTCTTTACCAGGGAGTTTCCTGTATTTTGCTTGTTTATGGCAAATGATTGGCACAAAACTTTGCCCATCTACAGATGGTAGTTGATGCCAATATGTAATTCTCTGCTTAAAAGTGTTGACCTTCCAAGAATTAAAATGTTGCAAACCAAAGTAGACTCGTTTCTTTTTCCTCGTGTGCAAGCAAAATGCATTCATGCACACACGTACAGACTGTTCTGTCTTTCTTAACAGCTTGCATATCGAAACATTTTTCAGTTATAGCGATAGTAATCCTAATTCTATAACTTGCTCAGGAAGAGTGGCGAAGAGGCCTTAAAGCTTTGAAAGTAGACACTATAAGTAAAATCAAGAAGGCACTTCCAGAACTTGAGAAAGAGGTATGGGTATCTATCTGTCTTGAGATGAAATTATGAGTTCTAATGAGGTACTAGGTGATGTGTCGCAATATTAATATGAGATTGAAATTGTATATTAGTTCTTTTAAATAATCTCCCATCTTTTTGCTGTCAAAAGGTTAGAAGGCCATCACACTTTGTGGACTTCTATTCATATGCTTTTAGATATTGCTTGACTGGTATGCTCTTCTTGTCAGCTTGCAGATTTAATGTTTGGAACTTCTAATTCCCATTTCTGCTGCTAACCGGTTTGTATTCTTTGTTCTTCCAGAGGAAAAACAGAAGAGTATAGACATTGAAAGCATTTGTATACTGCTGGATCTTGTTCTAGGGTCGGATTTTCAGCCCCAAGTTGATGCGCTTGTTCAGTATCTAAAGGTGAGCATCTGATGTCATGCATGTAAAATTATTGTTTTTCTGATTCTCAGTCTTAGAATAAATGCAAGATTTTTATGGTCTTAATGAACGAACTGACTCCAATTGGATTTTAGCTTTTAGGTTTCATGAATATTCTTTTGGTTCATACATTGTTCGCTTAAATTCGAAGTAGGACTTCATTTGTATTTTGGTATTTACTGGGATGACATTACTGGGCACCATGTTGTTATTGTACCCAACTCATACATCTGCTCAACAGAGCACCAAATTAATAACTGCTTATGTTAACTTTTAAGTAATATCTGAAGATGCAAACCATTTGTACGCACTTTTATAGGTTAGATTGCTTCTATATTGTGCAATGGAATCTGTGACAATCAGAACAAAGTTATGACTCCTGAAGAATTTTACTAGATATGGGAAAGAAAACAGCTGGTAGAAAGTTGTTGATCCTTGTAGAAATAGAAATCATTTGCTTAATGGAAAGAGTTAAATAAAAACTCTTATACATAGTTTGATAAGATGCACAGAGGAACACACACACACACACACACACACACACACATATACATACATACATTATATGCACTTTGTGGTTGGTGCAGATGCAGACTGATTACAAGGTCATTAACTTGGATCAATGGATGGGGTTCTATCGGTTTTGTAATGAGGTAATTCGATGCTTTACCTTTCATTAAACCATAAAATATGACTAGTCTGCACGACCGAGTTATGTAAACAATTTGGTTATAAACAGTGGTGGCATTCTGACTAGCAGAAGTTGCTGATACATTAATTAGGAGGCAATTCATACTAACTTGTTTCAAACGTTAACAGAGATTTATGCATACAAGAAGATGTCTGAGGGAATTATAATATATTTGATTTTTTATCTTTGTCCCTTGTAGTTAATGCAATTTTGTCGATTTGATGATCCAACAGATTAGCTTTCCAGACTTCAGCAATTATGATCCCGATCTTGCTTGGCCCTTGGTCTTAGATAACTTTGTTGATTGGATGAGAGCCAAGGAGGGTTAAGGCAAGAACCATATGGCGAAGTCTGTGTTGCCTGCAGAATTGCTTATAATCAAATTAGTAAATTCCTTCCAAGTTTTCCGTAATACATAAGTACTGCTTCAGTGAAAGGTTTCATTCTGGTATTTTAGTTGCATCTGCTAGCAGGACTTGCCAAAAAAATACCAATTAGACTGCCCAACTTCTTTTCTGCTTTCATTTAGAAACTTCTCCTTTTCGTTTTATTGAAAATGCTGATCTATTGTTCGCCTTTTAATTTGTAAAGTAAAGAAATATATAAACTGAAACTTTTTGTGATCTTGTGTATTCTGCAACGTTTTTTGAGCGCGCACACATCCTTTGGTTACTTCCTATATGCGTGTTGAGGTCTAAATTGGCTTAGCCACCAGTTGTGGAGTGTGGATGGGGCTGTGTTCGTCCCAACTCTCTCCGCTATCTCTACCATAATATATAGAATGCAGGCTTGCCTTTGTATTCTTTATATTGGAGGAAAATATTATGACGACCTAATACGTGTACGAATTTTCCGCCCATAAAATGTACAATTGCGCCATTCTAGTCTTTTGCGTGCTACAACCCAGACCTTTTTTTTTTTTTAATGAAATTTTAAGCAAGAAATTTACCATTTTTATTTTGAGAATTATTTTTCATTTTGATTTTTTTTTAAAAAAATTAAAAATGCTCAAATCGTCCTTATTTTCATCAATAAGACTCGAGAAAAAGCATTGAGTTTAAGTTCCAAAATAAAAAGGCAAAATTTCATGTATAAAAGATTAAGTTTGATTATTTCAAAGCTAAGAAGCAAGATTGAAAACTTAAAAAATCAAATATTAATTACATTTTATTTATGAAATAATTAATTAAAAATATATTTTATTAATTAAGCACATGTTTGATAGCAATTTTTTATTCCACAAAATTATTTTTTTATCGTTATTTCACTATTTCAACAATCATTTATGACTTCTTCACCCACATGTGAGGTTCATTTTTCTATCTGACGGTAAAAAAATCAATTCTTGTAATCGCTACCGAATATACTCTAAATATATTGTTGTCATAATTCAATATAATTGGTTACAAATTAACAAATTAATTGATCACAAATTATTTCTTGATCATGTATCAAAAATTTTATATGTCAAAGTATTTCTTGGTCACAGATCAAAACTTTCAAAGGTCACAAATTATTTTATCTCGATCACAAAATCACAACTTATTTAACAGTCACAAATTATCAAATTAATTGGCCACAAGTAAATTTTCGATCTCAACTTAATAAATTGAGTTGCAATCACATATTTAGGTCAAAAACACCCTCATCCCATCCCATCGCATCCCATTCACCCACGACCACCATATCATCGCCACGACCACCATCGACATCACCACCACCTCACCAAATTGTTCAAAATCACTAACATAGCAATCACAACATTAGTGAAAACCCATCATCACAATAACTCAAGCCCACCACAACAGTAACCACAATACCACCACATACCATAGCAACCGCAAAAACAACGCCACAACACCCACAGCACCACCACGCACAAAACTCCGGCACCATCATCGTGGCCAGATCGCGACATCACCAAACAGCTGACACTAAATCGCGAGTGCCATGTGCAAAACCACCAACATAGCAATCACAACATTAGTGAAAACCCATCATCACAATTAAAAAGGGGTCAGACGATTGTATAAGGGATAAACCTCTTGAAACAAAGTCCCAAAAAGGGGTGTTTTATTGGCAATGACTTTACAATTGGAACTTAAACAGAAATGCCTCCAAGGGGCGTAAGACACGAGTACTAAAAAGAAATGTTTTAAGTCTAAACTAAGAAATTGAAATTACATATTCTCTGTTTGAGAGTATTTGATTCGGGGTCTTTTGCTCTATGTCTTTTCTTCCTTTTATATTCCTTTGATGCTCTCTTTGTGATCAACTGCTTAGAAACCGCTTAATTGCTTTATAACTGTCCATTTTCTTCATGGTGGCCAACTTATTGTGGAACTGTCGTCTCTAACTGCTACCATTACTCTTTGTCGTTCAACCGTCCTCAACTGAACATCCTTGAATCATGGAACGTGATAAGATTACCCAATAATTGCTTCGATAATTGTACTTTTGGATAACCATAACATCTCATGTTTGCTTAGATCCTGGGCGATTAGAAAGTTTGGGCGAGAACAGGGTCATAACTCTGAGCGACTGCAAGGCACTTCATTCGCTCAGATCCTGGGGGTCTTGTAAGTTTGGGCAATGGTGTTACCACGTTCGTGGACTTCCACTGCATTCATTAATAACCCTATTTGGGCCTTTATTTTGAATTGCCCAGTTGGGCTTCATTCTTTGGGCTATTTGAATCGGGCTGCACTTTTTGTATGTCAACAATTACCCCCCAATATAGCAGAATTAATACCAATTATTAATTTTTGCCATATTCACTTTGTATTTCCCACAACATTTGAAATTCCCAAGAATTTTAATCATTATTTTCTTCCATAGCCTGAAAATGTGCGACGTTGCAAACCCTTATAACCCCCAAATACACGCCATTTCATTGCACTACTAAATCACGCCTCATTGCTTCGCGCTTCTCTCTCGCAATATTACTGTTCATTTTCTTGCTTATCTACTACGTTTCTCGAGCAAACTTCAACAAAGCTTTATTTCGTTCCTAATGGCTGCTTCACAATCCCAATCTAGTGACTCTTTCAGTTTCGAAGACTTCCAGAAACTCTTCACTCGGCCATATATAACTCCGAACTTCCTCGCACCAGCCAATGCCAAACTCAATAAGTTCTATCTAGGTCCTTCATTCAACAACGCCGAGGCCGTCGAACAAGTGGCGGTGAGCCAGCTGTTCCCTTGTACCCAAGGCCCTCCGTTTCTAAACTCTTTGCCGCTGAGGCCGCTTCGCAAAAGAGGTATTCATACTTGGCTTAAATCTGATGTCGTTTTCCGTAGATGGCATGCTCGCTTTGTAGACCATGGTCCTACCAAGGCAATATTTGATAGTGTTAGGATTTCTGATTTGTTAGAAATCTCTCTTCAACCCCCTATTTTTTAATTCACCGCTTTTCTCTATTGCATTAAGTTTTTGGTCCTCTGAGTATAATACTTTTGTTTTCTCTCTTGGTCACATATCCATTACTTTAAGGGATATTGGAGCCTTAGTAAATTTGCCACCTTTGGGCGATACCATTTTTCCTGGTATTTTGATTTCTGGTGTCACCCCAAAATTTGACAGAAAACTCACCGAGTCCTATTCAAACCTACAAAGCTGTTATAATCACTCGAGCGCTGAGCCTTCCCATGCTGAGCGTGTGACCTTTATTCAGATTTGGCTTTGTAAATATGTTTTGTGTGTGCCAAGCATGAAGCCTTCCATGAGCTATTTACCTATAGCGCACGAATTGGCGCGTGGCAGGCCCCTGAATTTGTGTTCTTTCTTTTTGGCCGCTCTCTATAGAGGCATGGCTTCTCTCCAATTCCAATTAAAAAATGGTGCATCTCTCGCTGGCAGTGGGCCTCTTTGGTTCACTCAAATGTGGTTGAGAGCCTATTTTCCCTCACTTGGTGCTCTATCCTTTTCCCTTCCTTCCGCTAGTTGCTATGGGCTAGCTATTGTCCCACTGAGCCCTGTAAATATGTCCAGAAGGGACATTTTTTCATTCTTTTATACTTTGAATTCAATTCCTTCTTTATTTCCTTTTCCTCCCTTTTTAACTCCAGATTATGTGCAACCCCCATCCACTTTGGACAGCGCGAACACCTCTCTGCTCGTTTGGGTTCAGTTTTTGACCGGGAGGGAGTTGTTCCATGATATTTTGACTCGAACCAATGCTAAAGCTGGGGTTGAAATATATGCTCCCCAATTTTTTTGCTCGTCAACTTGGTTTTGGCCAAACTTGGCCTGTTCCCCCTTGTTATTCTAGAAATTTGATAGATCGCTTCCACACCATTAATAAGGCAGAGGCAGAAGCTATAAATGCTCGCAATCTTCTTTTGACGAGTAATTTTTCATTAGCTCCTTTCAATCCTAGCCATGCCACCCATCCTCTTTTTGAACAACTCTGACCATCAGTGCAGCGCAGATTTAATGCACTTGATGCCAATCGCGCTTTCCATTCACTAGACCAGCCGGACATTTCTTCCACTTCCCCTGTTTTGGTCACCCCTATGTCCATTAGGAGTCCTTCCTCTTCTGCTCGTGCTAAGCAGTCTGTTTGCCCATCTACTTCTCTTCCTGCCAAGCCTACTGCATCTAAAAGTATTCCAAACCTCAAACGGCTAGCCTCAGCATCTCCCATTCTGGAGGATGACGATGATGACACTCCTCTCATTGTCAGGAGAAAGGTATTTAAATTAGTTTACTCACAAGCATACCTTTCTATACTTGAAACTTTTCTATGCGCTGATGGTTTATTTGGATTTCTTGAAAAAGCTCAGCCTCTCCTTCAAAGGCTTTGGTGTTAGCAGCTCCTGCTCCATCACCCTCTACTGAGGCTGCTTCATCCAAACCAGCTGATGAAGGGACTACGGTCAAAGAGGAACCTTCAATCCCGGAATCCTCATCGTAACCAATGGATGAGCCACCTTTTTCTCAGGGCGTCAACCCCCCAAACCTTGAACCAGAAGGTAATACATTTTTTGATGTTTTACCTTTACCTTTGCTTGTGCTATTGATTTTTGATTTGTTGCTTTTTGAGTTTTGCAGATACTCCCATGGGTTTGCCCGTTGTGGCAAAGTCTTCTCGCTCAGACAATGGGACATCTTCACGAGTGGTGAAGCCACAGGTGGTAGATTTGGCTGGGGATATGCCACCTCTCAAGAATGCTGATGAGGTAATCTCTGCTTCACTTTTGCTTCCACTTTGTTCATTGTAGTGAAAATCTTCAATGTTGGCAACTTTCTTTGCAGGATGCTGATAAGATTGTGCGTTCCATCCAGGACTTGTTCACTTCCTGGGGGCAAGTCAAGACGTCTCGCCCTGCTTCAACTAGTCGTCCTTCTGCTTCTTCAGAGGAAGATATGAAGTTCCTCAAGCAGTCGATATTTGAGTATGTGTCCTTTATGGATATGGACATCGGTCAGGCTAGTACTGCCAAACATAAGGATAAGCTTGGGCACTTGAGTGCGAAGTTGGAGCAAGCACTGACACTTCCGTCGCTCAATCTTTCTGCTGATTTTAAAGCGACGTTGAAAGTCGTCCATTCCTAGGTTTTCTTCTTGCTGGCCAAAAATATTGAACTGAAGGCCAAAAGTACTCAATATCTTCGCACTGTATCTGAAAGAGAATCTTTGCTTCTGGAGATCAACAAA